CGCGATGTAATTACGTACTTTTGATTCTGTTTGTGCATAATGAGTCGCGAGCGATAAAGTTACCGAGGCCGCCTGCAAGTTTCGCCGTGTTCCAGCAATCTCTCGTAATATCGCGAGCAATAATTGATCCGCGTTGCATCGAATTTACACTATTCACTTTTCATAATTAACCTATTGATCCTAGTAATTGCAGTAGGAGCAACTGGGGGGAAAATAATATCCGACGTCAAGATAAGTTGAAATTTACATTTAAGGATGTTTTGTATGTGCAATTTCAGCAAAAAGTAGCTGAAACTCAATATTGACGAATATATCCATTTTTGGTGTATTTCGAGTAAGAAATTATATGGAATATTACAATTTGATCTTAGAGTGCAGAGATGTATTTTTTACTGAAATATTCCGAATTTTGTTAATCGAAATAATTAACATTTGACGGAGAATTTCGCCTTGTGACAGATACATGGCTAACTTTATTGAATTATATTTAATATCTTTTTAACCAGTTAATACTTGTATAATATTATTTGACCAAATATTTCCTCTATATCTAAACTTTTGCAAATTTTAAACAAATTCGGAATATTATTTCCATGTGTTTTTGTCATTTGAATCGACGTGATTACACGTCTCCCATAAGAACACATGTTAATTCGGTGTAAATTAAAATCCTTATAACTTGCGAACGCTTTACTGAATCGATTTAAAAATTGTATTGAAGATTCTAAACATATGTAAGAACATTCCGTACAATTTTTATCAAATTCTCAATATTTTGAAAATAGGTACAAAACATGCTTAAAATAAGTTTCAAAAATATAAAAGAGAGAGAGAGAGAAAAAGCTAATTATAAAATTTACAGAGAACAGAGGAAACCCTTATATTTCAAGAGAAACAAATTATCTCGGGGCAAAAATATCATTTGCTAATTCGGAAACGTACCTTAACGTGACGCTAGATACAAATATTTGTATATACAATCTCAGCAAAAAGTAGCTGAAAATCAATATTGACGAATATATCCATTTTTGGTGTATTTTGAGTATGAGAAATTATGTGGAATATTATAATACAATTTGATTTTAGCTACAATGCAGAGATGTATTTTTTAATATTTATTGCGTTTTTACTGAAATATTCCGAATTTTATTAATCGAAATGATTAACTTTTGGCAGAGAATTTTGCCTTGTGACAGATACATGGTTAACTTCATTAAATTATATTCAATATCTTTTTAACCAGTTAATACTTGTATATTATTTGACCAAATATTTCCTCTGTATCTAAACTTTTGCAAATTTTAAACAAGTTCGGAATATTATTTCCATGTGTTTTTGTCATTTAAATTGACGTGATTACGTTTCCCATAAGAACACATGTTAATTCGGTGTAAATTAAAATCCTTATAACTTGCGAACGCTTTACTGAATCGATTTAAAAATTGTATTGAAGATTCTAAACATATGTAAGGACATTTCGTACAATTTTTAAATTCCCAATATTTTGAAAAGAGGTGCAAAACATCCTTAAAAAAGGATGCAAAAGCGTCAAAATGTTACACGATATGAAATAGTTGGCAAGTATATTATATGCGGCCGGATACGCGAGAGCTTAAAATTAATTTCGCATATTCGAGTAGGTTGTTCCTCATTTTTCGTAATTGCTATCGCATCGACGGATTAGTTTATGGCGGATAATGATCGGAGATGGGGGAGGTATAAATATAAACTGAGCTTTACATACCGGACTGTTACAATAACGAGCTAAAAATGATACGTCGAAAGCGCAGGCTAAAACGGGATTGTGTAATCGGATTTCCGATGATGGACGAGTAACATCATTGCAAAAATGGACGTGCCCGCAGCAACGTATTGTTACGCCAACAAATTCGCTCTTTGACTTTTAAGCTCGGATTAAACTCTCTCTTTTTTTTTTTATTTATTTTTTTTTATTTCGCGAGGGGAAGGGCGCAAAATGTCGTTTTCGCAAAATTGCCATACTCATCGGCCGCCCACATATGCGTGTATCGGATTATACTTAAAATTTTACGCGTAGACGGATATTATATTAATTACTAATCGTTTCGGAGCGCGTCAAAATTGCATAATGCACCGGGCAAATTTCCGGTGACGTATTGTGCTACGAAATAATGAAAGATCATTGTGAGAGTCAGCGTCGGAACGTTTGTACGATTACTGACGCTTGTTAATATTAACTCATCTGGCAACGTTAATTAACGAGCGACCATGTCGATGAGCATTATACGTGGCGCGCAGAGACAAAGTTGAAACTATTTCAGGCATGTTTGACACCCGTTGTTTTGATCGCGCTACGAGGGCGCGATACCATGGGGGGGGGGAGAGGCGTAGGGGAAAAGGGGTGGGGGCGAATAAATTGATACCAATGCGTGCATGTCGCGAGAAGTCTCGCTGATGACCTATCGCGCTAATCTATTTTCCCGGGAACGGGATTTATCGAGTATTCTAGCGAATGCAGAAAGCTCGCTGTAATATCGAGTTTTGGCGTTAAATATTTTCGCATCGCGGCCATTTTCCGCGAACGTTTTCCGAGCGCGATGGTGTTCGTTCGTCCGATCGCCAAATTTATTTCTCCAGTTTGCTTGGATTAATGTCCGCGTACGATTAATTCACTGCCGTCCGCGACAAAGGCAGGGGGGATAATCTCAATTTTTTAGAGGCGCTTTTCGATGATCTCGAAGCGTTAATACGACTAAAAGATGTTGTTCCGTAAAACCTGTTCGAGAAATAAAATTTATAGTACATTTTATTTTATAGCGTGTTATATTTATAGTATATTTTTATCAAGATTCTGTTTATTTTTACAAAGCACGCATGTATATATGCGAGGTTTCCATTTTAATTGAACTGTACAAGTACAAATATATAAACATATTTATTTTTAAATTCAATTTAAATAAAATAAACTCGGGCCACGTATGTGTTTATCCCGTGATTGAATTTTCGCAGCTGAAAATACGAGTTATTCGAAACATTTTATTCGGCAAAAAAGAAAAAAAAATAGCAGATATTTTCCGATTCCGAGTCAAGATACATTTATACAAATTAATAAAGCAAATAAATTTTATACGGTTTTTTTCTTTTCTCTCCTCGTTATCTCGTCGCGAGGAGACATTCCGTGAAGAGAGACGGAAGTGAAACGGATCTGCATTAATCCGAATAAAGAGTCTCGGCAAATACATCACAAACTTGCGAAGTACTTTGAGGCGAAGGACTTAGCTGATTAAGATTCTGAGATAATTTCGGACGGGCCTGCAGAATCAGAGAGGTGGGCCGGATAAAAAAATTTTCCTGACGGATCAGATGAATTTTTCGAGAAAGAAAAAAAACGAAACGTTCAAAGGATGTCCGTGGCTGGTTGCGTGAAAAGAGGGATCTGATGCCGAATGAGTTGAAAGAGGGAAAATCTCGCGTCCGATAACCGTTCGGCGAGAAAAATTGGTGATGTTGTCTGAAACACATTCTTCAGCATCAAAAGTGATCTTTGCGAGCCACCTGGACGAGTCGTGTTGACAGTATTAATCAGATTAATTAAAGCGATAGTAAAAATATCAACAATTTTTATTATAATGAATATAGTCAAGCGGAAGAAAATTGACAGACTTGACAGATGGATTAATCGGAGAATCTTTTTTTTCCGTCTTTCAAAAAATCTTATCTTCCTCTTTGTCGCGTTTCTTGGATCCTGTGTAAACCATGAGTAAGCATTGGAATTGTAGATCTCTTTCGAAAGATTTGCTAGAGATGTTCCTTATCGCGAAATATGGTCCTACCACTTGCCACATCACTCCAGAGCAGCACTCTTGTCGTTACGGTCGTGAAAGTGAGACGGAAGTGGCTCTTATCGAAACAAAGAGCGATGTTGACCGTGTGTCTAGCCATATAGAAAGTCACATTCAGTGGAAGGAAGAAAGAGGCGGGGCGGGGGGGGGGACAAGTAGTTGCAGGCTTTTTCAAAGGATTTCAAGAGATAGTTTGCGAGGAAGAGAAACGCGGAAGTAAAACGAAAAACTGTTAAAAATTACGGATAGGTTTCAGAAGAATCTTGACATCCTTGATTCCATATTCCTTTTGTGATAGAAAAAGAGGGAAGGGGAAATAAATCTTGGAAACGATGAAAATCTCATCGTGAAATATGTAGGCAAAAGAGACAATCGCACATACAGAATATAGAAAGCTTCTCCTTTTTGTTAAATTAAGACTACGTCTACTTTGATGTAGACGGACGAAAAAAATGTGATATCTGGAGCAATCTTTTTCTATAAAAAATCGTTATCGAAATCACCGTCATAAAACGCGGGAAAAGACGGCGATACAAGAGCGCGATTCCCTGTAATTTTACGGTTCGGTAATTTCATCTCTCATTCCTATCGATGTTCAGGACTTTATGTTCTAGGACGAAATAACACGTCGAACATGTTACAAATGTGTGACACACGTCTCTTGCGATTATAAAATATTAAATATAAATATATATTAAATATTAAATAATATATATAATTAATAAACATTAAATTAAATATAAATATAAATTAAATTAAATAGTAAATTAAATATAAATTAAATATTAAATTAAATTATAAATATATTTAATATTGAAAAAAAAAATTGTTTAATTAATGGAAACTTTACTTGTTAACCTAACTGATGTTTAAAGAGCTTAATCAACAAAACATATGAGATAAAATAATAAAAGCATCCCCACGTTTACTGCTTTGTATCTTGTAAGTTAGCTGAAAGAGCTTTGAGACGATACTCTTGCATTTTGCCCGGGAACACGGGCCCTTTTCCGGAAGCATCGGCAGGTAGACTAGACGTAGCCTCGTGTTCCCGACGTGTCGCGACAAAGAAAGCGCAGCGACCGTCGTCTTTGTCATCCCCGGCTCGCGGCGCCGAGCGAAAGAGGAACTAAACTAAAACGACGCGTCGCGTCGCGACGCGACCCCTTTGTGTCTGCGCAGGGATGGCGGAGGGCGGCAGGAAGCATCCGGTGTTGCTGTACATTCACGGCGAGAGCTACGACTGGGGCAGCGGAAACCCCTACGACGGTAGCGTCCTAGCCAGCTACACGGACCAAGTGATCGTCACCATGAACTACCGGCTGGGCGTGCTCGGCTTCCTGAACGCCAACGTGGCGCCGCAGACCAAGGCGAGGGTCGCGAATTACGGCCTCATGGATCAAATAGCCGCTCTTCACTGGGTCAAGGAGCACATCGGCCTCTTCGGGGGCGACCCCGAGAACGTCACCCTTATGGGCCAGGGCACCGGGGCCGCTTGCGTGCATTTCCTCGCCATCAGTCCCACCGTCGTTCGCGGTAAGTGATCCAAATTGTTTCGAGCACCCATAATTGAAGCGACACGTGATATAAAATCACAGCAAACACTAAATAACACACTGAGAAAAATCGTTTGATTGTACCAACAAGACGTATGATCGAAGGCATTTTGGTTAAATCAAACAAGAATTTCTAGTTATCATGATAAGACTCGATTTTTTATAACTAGAACGTTTAATAAATTTTATTATAAGGATTTGGCTTGTATTTTCTGGTTGGATCTATAAAGTTTCTTGTTACATTAATTTCTTTGCTTGCCCCTCTTAACTTAACTCTTATTCAATATTTGTCATGAAATGTATATAAAGAACTAGTATTGACATTAAATTCGAGGTATATTTTTTTTCTCTTACGAGCAGTAGTGCCAGAATGAGGACGCTAGCTCTCTGATTGTGTGTGTTTGAGCTGCATCCTCTTCTTGCATCACTGTTTATCAGTTTAATTTCTAACAAACTGAATTTAAAATAATTTATTCAATAATCTGGATTGAATTTATCCAATAATCTTGTTGAAATTCAGAATATTAAACAGACTTTTGAGATTAGATGGAAAAAATTCTAGACGACTTGGTGCTGGCGAGTTTAGTATTATTAACCAGAAAATTTGGTAAATTTAATAGGAAGAAATTATTAGGAAGAAATGAATCAGATTCATTTGGTAATTCCTACAAGAATTCTGGTTTGTCCATTTTCGAACAGACATACTGGTTGAATCTACCAGAATTCTAATTAATGCAACCAGATTTTTTTCTCAGTGCAGATATATAATTGTTATAATCAGTAATTAATCGGGCTTGAGGAGTAAAAAATAAAATTTTGAAGTTAAAAACGGACATATGAGTCAAATTTAATATAAGAAATACAATTTAAATGGGTTAACTTTAATCATATTATTTGTTCGCATAACTATACTAAAAATTCAAAGGTTATAATTTAAACTATAACCTAATATAATAATAATATAAATATAATTTTGCACAAAATATTGACAAATCGAAAGTTCTATGTAAACGTTTCGGTCCTCGTCTGGACTCTCCTCAGTATAATTAACAATGATGAACGGAAATTAATAAAATATTAAAAAATAAGATAAAAATATAATAATATAATCGTTAGTTGTAATTTCCCACTCAATATAACTATTACATAACATGTAACAGTTAAATAATATGTAACAGTTATATTGTTGAGTGGGAAATTACAACTAACAGTTAAATAAATGTTATTTGGTGTTTGCTGGAATTGAGGAGTACTTTGTAATTTTGGACATAATTTAAGCAAAATATGTAGAATTAATTGCAGACTATTTTGGAAAAATATAACGATATATAATTCTATTGATCTTATGTAAAAGGCAGATAATTATCATAATGATCCAGATTTTTTGATTCTTTTTCGTTCTTCGACGATGTATTAGGTTATGTTCCCGCAACCGAATCGCACTTTGAAGTATGTAAAACAACACATTTAAAATTGGGAAAATTGAATTTAGCTAAAAGCAATATTATAATCGTGAATTATAAAATGCAGGGTAGCGTTATTAATTTTCTCGAGAACGAAGCCGGTCAAAATTTCGGAACCACTCGCCGCCATGTTGCGTCCGCAATTATTCAGGATACACGTTGCGCCGGCGCGTCTCGTAAATGATTAAAAGCGCTTTTGCATTACATATAATTGAAGAGTAGCAAGTTTTACATGAGCTTCGTTACAGTGCGTTATTTCGTGTTGGTTAATTACGCACAAATTACGTATTCGTAAATAAGAAGGAGAGGGGGGAAAGGTTTCCTCTTTCTCTCGAAAGCGAAATTCTCCTCGTTGCATAAAATTTCCTCTAGAAACTTGCGAAAATTTCTACCGATCGAATCCGTTAACAAGGTCTCCGACGTGAAATGGGCTTACGCTTTCCGGACTTGTCTCTGTAACTATTCCGTTACTTTTTCGCGAAAATACGAATTTGTAGATTTGAAATAAGCAAAGGTTCTCAACCTTGATCATAAGTAATCTCGCAAGTTATTTTATTTAAATTTAATGTAATTTTCTAAATTTTTATAATATTCTGAATTGAAAAAAAGATTCGAAGACATGCATGTATATGTTTACAAAGAGCAAAATATTAAGGATTTAAAAAAATATTCTCTCTTTTAATCTAATTTTTTTCGTATATTCTATTTATAAAAAAGTTTTTTTGATTCAAATTTAAAAAATTCAAGTATTCTAAATTTTAAAAAAATTGTATACATTTAAATGTATATACGTAGGGAGCAAAATGTTTATGGATTGACAAAAGAATATCCTCTCTTTTAATCTAATTCCTTTCGCATATTTTATTTAAATTTAAAAAGAGATTTTTTGATTCAAAATGAAAAAATTCAAGTATCTTAAATTTAAAAAAATTGTATACATTTAAATGTATATACATAGAGAGCGAAATATTTATGGATTGACAAAAGAATATCCCCCCTTCTGATTTTCCCTTCTGATTAATTCCCTCTGCATATTATTAAATAGCCGAAGAATGCGAGGATTCTTTTTGGAATCTCTTGGAACAGTAGATTGATGAGAAAATGTTTAGCTTAGCGATCGAAATATTCCGCGAAAATCCCCGTCATCTGTCGCGAGAATCGCTGCGCCATCTTATCGCAACGCATTCCTCGCTCCGGGAAAGAAATTGAGAAGAAGGAGTCCAGAAAATGAGAGATGAGAGATGAGAAGTAGCTTAAACCAGCAAGAATATCAGCTCGAAATTTCTTTCTCCGATATCCGCCGGCTCTCCCCCGTCCCCCGCCTCTCTCCCTTTCCGATCTCTCGTCGCCATTTTGCCGGGTTCGCGGTATTTTCGAGGACGAACACGCGCGGATCGGCGAGTGGTAACACATTGCCGGGGATATTGGCTGTCTCTCCCTTTATATCTTCATTCTGCGATGGCTGCCGTCTTCGTGTGGTCGTGTTCACGGTTAACGTTCGACGGTTAACAGCCTCCACGAGCACCCTCCGGGGATGGACACGGCCATCCGAGAGGATAAGAGAAAGCCTTCCGTCTCTCTCTCCCTTCCCCTCTTACTCTCCGTTTCCGCGCTCGTGATATTATGTGCGTGAAATATCGTCCCTTCCTACCAGCCACCCTTGTCGCGCTATTGGAAAATACTTTCCATCCTTATGAGAAGAGCGCAGCCATCCACGCGTGTCCGAGACCGGGGGTTTTTTCCCCTCCATCGTTCTTTTATCCGCCACGGCTGTTTCCTCGCCTTGGTTTTGTTAATTAAAAGACACTTGGAGAAGAGGAATATCGAGAGAAGTCATGAAATTCTCGCGAATAAGGGGAGAGATTTGGATCGAAGCTGTCGCTTGTGTGTGTGAGAAACAACGCGATTTAGAATGGTTTGATTTCATAATCATGGGAACGATAAAAAATAAATATGGGATATTAAATCTTCCGGTTTATGCGAAAAAGGAGGGAGAAAAGAGCTCTTATATTTCTCTTTTCTTTTCTTCCTTTACAATTTGGAATCAGATTTATGACCCCGTCACTTCCAGTAGTCCAACGCGAAGGCTCATAAAACTTTTTTCACTTAATAAAATTCGCGTTATTTGCGGATTTCATCATTTAAGACGCTTTGTGCTTATTTGTTTCGCTAGAGAAGAGGCATCGTTTCCCTTTCTTCTTTTGCTTGCGAGCAGAAAGATTCTCTGATCGGAAGGGATCGTGACGTGGCCCGATTCTTCTCTAGCTTCCCCGGCTTCGCGGATGCTTCATTCTTTGCCGTATCACCGAGAATAGAAATGAAAATTCCATTTTTCCGAGGCGACGGTCCCGAGACACAGCGAGTCCTGTTATTTCCTGCTTTTGGCCTTCCTTCTCTTTTTTCTATTCCTTCTTGTTCCTCTTTCCTTGTTTCCTCTTCTCTCTCTCTCTCTGTCTCTCTCTTTTATTAATTCCCCTGATAAATTGCTCGACGAAAAAAATCGCATAATAATTTCTCGAAGCAGAAAGCGTCCCCTATATCTGTCTTTTTTTATTCCTCTTGAAAATTGAAAACTACATTTCCCCCCCGTTTAAAATGCAATTTTTTTCTCATCTCATAGAAATCAAAATCGGAACTCGATTCGTTCGAGCTAATCAATTTCTTAATAAAAAATAATAAATTACGAATATCTTTCAAAGTTTTTCTAATAACATGAATAACAGAAAATCTCAAACTCATTATATTTTAATAATTGTACGCATGCGCGTTATAATTTCTAAAGAGTTACATATAAATAAAATGCGCTTGTTATGTTGAATAATAATTTTTATTTTAAACCAGTTGATAGCGTAAAACCCTTAAAATAATGATGGTGTTAATAACGAGGGGAGCGAAGATTGAAAACCTCTGCTTTAAGGAAAACTTAACATTCCATTTTTCCTTGGGCAAATAACATCGATAGGAGAGTCTCCGCAGGAATAATTCTCTTTCTTGGATAATTATAGGTCGTCGACCACGTCTTTCTTTAGGTTTGAGAAGGACTTTGGTTTATCTTTCTTTTCTCGCAAAGAATAACGACGTAACTCCCATCTATCCGCGGCGCCATTTTCGCTGACGTAATTTCCTTCTCAAACAATCCACTCGTATAATATTCAGCGTCACGTAATTATTGCGTTTCATCCGGCATTAGATGTAACAATTCGAGATACCAAGATTTAATTATCAAAGGGCACGTGAGAAACAGAGAGAAAGGAGCTTGAATTGCGATGAATTACAAAATAAAATAAATTATAGATAGATAACGCGCTTTTTTATACAAGATATATGTGTTTGTGCGCTAATAATAGACATATCGTTAAAATTTGCAAATGTATTTAAAATACAAGAAGTAATTAAAAACGACCACACTGGCAAATTTTATTAAAGTGAATCACGACGTTTCGATCATGGTTTTGGTCCTTTTCGAGTGAACTACAAAAAATTATTTCCAATATTACACAAAAAAAATAAATTACATTGAAAAATAAATTATGTTGTATTTAAAATAATTTAAAGATTTAAATTTCAGGACAAATTTCTCTTAAATAATTTTAAATACTTTTACTATTATATTTTTTTTCGTTTCGTCAATCAAAATACAGATTTCATTTGATCATATTTCATCAGATTATATATTGAAATTTATTTCCTTCTTTTTAATGATATAAATTCTTAGTATCCACTGTAGCAATTGACATCTATTTTATTAGTCTTATTTTATATTCCTTGAAAATTGAGGAAATGAAAATCAAATTTTCCACTGATACTCCGCGAGTACGAAATCTGTTCGCGAAAATAACCTTTTGTTCCTCTTTCTACGTGTCATTTTAAGCAATAGAAAAGCTGTTCCGGTCCATCGAACAAATTTTCTCGAGAGAGAATTCCTTTATCGACGAAAAATCTAGTATTTTTTTTTGCAATTTGCGAAAATAAAAATAAAAATATCAAGGTATTCTGATATGAACTTATATCAGAAAATTTTTCCTTTGCGACGCAACTTTCTCATTGCAAAGATTATTATATTTTTCTGGAAAAAGTATTTCCTCTTTTAATTTAAAAAATGCCACATTCCTTTCTTCTTTTTAATTGCTCAAAAATTATTGACTCAAATTGAAATTTTCCACCAGTATCAATCTATATTAAATGGATAAAAATGTACTAATATTTAAATATTTAAATATTTAAGCAATAATTTTTAAACAATTTAAAAAATTAGTTTTATACATCATACATACTGATTATAATGTTCACACTAATATATTTAATTTTTCGATTTCTGATATCATCAAGATATATTATATTTTAAAAAATATGTAAAAAATATGTAATAACCGAATCCTTTAATTCGCAGGATTGTTCAAACGAGCCATACTTCTATCGGGTAGCGCCCTTTCATCCTGGGCCGTGATAGAAGATCCTGTATCCTACGCCCTGAAACTGGCCAAGGCTATCAACTGCTCAATTCCCGACGATCTCCTCAAAGACAATGAGCTTATAGTCGATTGTCTGAGGGAGAGTAGTCTCGAAGAGCTGATGCAGGTCGACATTCAACCTCCGACATTTCTTAGCGCGTTTGGCCCAAGTGTCGATGGTGTCGTCATCAAGCCGGACTTTCAGAAGGATCTCCTGTCTTATCTAGGACCCGAGTTTCAAGGATTCGGGTGAGTATACTCGGAAAAAATTCTCATTAATATTGGATTTTCTCAAAGTTCCATCCAAGAGTCTTATGATTTTTCACCACAACTCTTCAAAGAATTCCGACTTTAAGAAATTCCGATAATATTGTCGATCTTGGAGTTTCTTGTTTCGAATTTAAATTTCAAGGTCTTCGTATCGATTCCATCGCCTTTTTAATTTTAATAAGAAATATAAAAGATAAATTCGTCTGACGTTGCGAACATCTAATGCCACTTTTGATCACGGTCGTAGCGCGAATGGGAAGGGAAAAAAAAGGGACGAAATCCTGAGACAGTAAGGGGAAGGGGAAAATCCTCGGATTCCGGTAGAACGGGCTTAATAGAGTTTTATGGTAATGCGGCGTATATTTCTACATTTTCTTTCGCGGCGGCAAAGGAAATCCGTAAAGCGGCGGAAAAGTTATTTTGATGTGTGCACTTCCGGGCCCCGGCTTTGCTTTCTTGCTCGAAGAGAGGACGGAGGGGGCCGAGAAAAGGGTAGAAAAGGGGGGGAGAGAGAAGGGAATGTCTCGTACTTAACGTTGGCTTCCACAATAATTCCGCTTTCCGTCTTCCGTCTGACGGATCTCGGAGTTTTCTCGTTAAATGGAAAAAGAGGGGCTAAATGAGCCGGTTCGCCATCGCGAACATTAGCAGTGGTTCATTAACGCGATTGTAAACGACCCACCCCGACCCTACAACGTCATTAGCATACTTACAATCGAAGATCGCTCCACGCCGCCGGAAACCATAGAGCGAGTTCATATCATCATCTTTGTTTCCAAAGCGAGTTCCGTTGCAATTAGTGTTCGTGATTTTTAGCTAATGTCGCCTTCGTATTTCTAACGAAATTATTTTAATCGCATGTCTTGAGTGTGCTTATATTTTTAAAATAATCTTCTCTAGTATTTCTTTATGTTTGAATTATTATTTAATTATGTTTTAAATTAAATTTAATTATGTTTTGATTATTATATTATTCAATTTATTTTTCAGAAATATTTAAGATGTGCAATTAATTATATAAAATTATTTTAATCATGCATGTCTTGAATGTGCTTATATTTTTAGAATAATCTTCTCTAGTATTTTTTGTTTTAATTATTATTTAATTATGTTTTAAATTAAATTTAATTATGTTTTAATTATTATATTATTCAATTTATTTTTCAGAAATATTTAAGATGTACAATTAATTATATAAAATTATTTTAATCATGCATGTCTTGAATGTGTTTATATTTTTAGAATAATCTTCTCTAGTATGTTTTTATGTTTGAATTATTATTTAATTATATTTTAAATTAAATTTAATTATGTTTTAATTATTATATTATTCAATTTATTTTTCAGAAATATTCGAGATGTGCAATTAATTTCATTGTCACTTTAATATTTTAATCTTTTTGTGTATATTTATTAAATTTAATATTGAAAGAAGATTTAAAAGAATTAAAAGATAATATTATCTTCTTAGAAAAAATTAATTATATTGTTTGAAAATTATATAATAACTGAATTTGCATTGAATTAAAATTGTTATTGTTGACTTTAGGCCTCTTCCAAAGAAGGCTGAACACGGTGCACCAATCACGAGCAACAACAAATACGATCTGTTATTTGGCGTGACAACGAGCGAGGCATTGTGGAAGTTTGCGGAGAAGGACGTTCTGCAAGGATTCGAAGGAGAGAGGAGGGACAGGATTATCCGCACGTACGTGAGGAATGCCTACGTCTATCATCTCACTGAGATATTTTACACGGTGAGTCAGATGTTTTTTTTATTTATAAGACGGAGAGAGAAATGTTTAGAATTTTTCACACAACGAAATAATATCTTATAAGATTAAAAAATCATTTTTAATGAATATCTTATTTATGTATGTAAATGTAAATAAAAAATTTTTATCAAAAACAAAAAAGCTGATAATATTGCTTTTTTGTATCCTTGTAAATTTTTGAAAACTTGTGGAATGTTGAATTTTCCTAACATTTATTTATTTGTTTATTCTTATTTTTTTATTCATTTATTTATTTGTTCTTATGTAGATTCAGTAAAATCTAAGAAATTAAATATAATCTCTAGATTATTTTGTCAATTTAAGAGATGCAAAATATTCCAAAGATTCAAACTTCAAATTATTTTCTGTATATTTTTGAAAATTTTATATTTGTCTACATATTTTTTAATGGAAATGGATTCCTCTGGTGTCTATTTATTCCTATAAATCTTTAATCAAATCAAGAATTGAAATATAAAATTCCGAAATTTTACCAAACTAAAATATATACAAAATTATTTCAAGGATCTCGAAATTCTCGTTTCCGATGAGGAGGTTTTCGAGGACAAGAGAATGAAATTTTCAAAGAGCAAAGATGAATCGTATTTATCGCTGGCCGTGCGCGACATGCCGCGCATATTTGCGGCGCGTGTGTCGTCGCATTCGCGCGGAATTTATCGTAGGACATAATTGTTACGTTCCATAGCCAACGGTTGAAACGCGAGCGTTGCGTTTTGTCAAAATACACCGGCGACGCAATTCCATTTGGCCGGCGCGTTATCGGTCCGCGCCAGGAGAGCGATGCACGCCGAGCATTACTTAACGATTATAGACAATTAAATGATTACGGCCGGGACAATGTATTTTTACGAGCGCGATAGAAGGGGAAGGGGGAGGCTATCGAACGATTAAATGCATCGCATATTCCGTAAAGGTGAAACTGACTCGATATTGATTCGTGAATAGAACGCGCGAAACTTTGAAGCTTAACTGAAGAGATTTTCGCGAAGAGAGCCAACTTGTTTTTAGTTTAAAAAGATACATATTGACGTGAAAAAAAATCTCTTTTTGTATTCTTTTTTAAAAATATATTTTATACTTGATTTATTTTAAAAAGTATCAATGTGAGAAAATATTTCTTTAAATACATAGATTATTTTATTATACAGGCCTGTGAGGTTTTTTTTTTAAGATGCAATAGTGATTTCCGACGTAATTTTGTGCGCTGAATCCGAATCTGGTCGCCGAATTTGCGTAGCACGTTACGTTTTTGAGTAATTTGTAATTGAATGGCTTAAAAATCGCTATTTTGGCCAATTTCATGAATTTATTGCGAGGAAATTAAATTTTTTGAAATATTTCTGCCAATGGCATCGTATAATATTCACTTTCGCTTTTCAAATCCACTTTTGATTACCGCCGCACGATTTTTCTTCGCGGAGATATATAAGTATGTAGTATATAAGACGTTGTAAGAAAATTTACATTAAAGAAAATTTATGTTGACATCAATATAGTAGATCCATGATGTTGAAAGTTGAATAGACTGACATATGTCAGGTTCGGTTGTCCAAAAAAGTATTGTGAAGAAATATCTAATACAGTTGTTACACATTTTGATAAATTTTATGTCTTTTTATTGTGATTCTATTCGCCATATTGGATGCGCCATTTTTAATTTCAAAAGGTGACAGATGGTTTAAAAATATATATTTTTATCCTAATGTTGATTCGTAGTGAAATAAAGAGGCATGATTGATTTAGAATGGCTTATTAGATCTCTATGCATGACCAGTCTTATGACTTGTACATTTGAGCGAAACAAAATCGTGCGGCGGTAATCGAAAGTGGATTCGAAAGATGAAAGTGAGTACTATACGATGCCATTGACAGAAATATTTCAAAAAATTTGGTTTACTCAGAATAAATTCATGAAATTGGCCAAAATAGATTTTTGGGCTATTCAACTACAAATAACTCAAAAACGTGACGAGCTACGCAAATTCGGCGGCCAGATTCGGATTCAGCTCACAAAATTACGTCAAAAATCACTATTGCATCTTAAAAAGAAATTTTGATTTTCTTTTTCGCAGGCCTGTGTTATTTTTCTCTTTCTTCCTTTTTTTTAATATGCTTTTAATAAGCGCATTGAAAAAAAGGTTGCTCTAAGCGCAAATCGGTCACGCCTGATTTTCCGGTTTCCGCAGTTTCTTGCCGTGTCTATGACAGACCGTGCGAATGACAGACCTGAAATTCGTTTTCGTATAGGTGGTAAACGAGTACACCGACTGGGAACGAACGGTTCAGCATCCCGTCAACACGAAGGATGCATGCGTGCAAGCTTTGAGTGACGCGCAGTTTGTGGCACCGCTCGTACAGACCGGAGATCTCTTCACCCTGAGGCACACCAAGAAACCGAACAATCCCCACATAGCGCCGATCCCCGACAGCGAGGAGGAACCGATGCCCAAGACTTACTTTTACGTGTTCGACTATCAGATGAAGGACGGCGATTATCCTCAGGTAAGCGAAACAAAAAGAATCGTAGGCCGCTAAAAAGAAGTATTAAAACTCGTATAATGAATCGAAAAAAAATTTTAAATGAACTTGGACACACGTCGCATATACAGTACCAGTCAAAAATATTGCATCATTTTTAAAAGATACAGGAAATGCGCAAGCGAATGAATAATTTTTTTCTTTCCTACTCCCAGCTGTTTTGCTCCTGTTAATAAATTTATTAAAATAATAAGATAATTTAATAATATTTATATATATTTTTGGTTATTAAAGCGATGACTTTTTTCCATTTCTATAAATGATGTAATACTTTTGATCGATACTGTAGTTGGTAAAATTTCACTTTTACACTTATAAGTCACTTCGAATTGGCATTTAATGAGTTGGAGAGTCTTCGCGGAAGCATCGACGATGAATCATGCTTCACCTTCGCTCTCAACCCTTCGAGGGGCGACCCGTCGGAATAGCAATGTCTACCCCGTAGATGTTTAGTTTGATTAAGCTTTAGCCCGTTTGTAGCGAGGATGCTGGGTCCAGCGAAGGCAATTATTCGTTCGTCCGCAGAATATTCTCACGTAACCGCGTGATGATTGTTTTCCCATCCATCCGTCCGTCCTTCCGTCTCCTCTCCATCACTATTGCTGGCTCAAATTATCGGCGTGTTTATGTTCAATTATGCACAGATTACGTTATACCCGCGATGTTACATTATTGTTCTCCGCGACGCGCGCCTTCCATTATCAGCACGGGTGCAGGCTTTCAGACAGGACTCGAGTATGTATCGGATTATTTCCACCGAATGTCTCTCGAATCCCTTGATAATTTCGCTCAAAATACGGATCATTCGTTAAAATACAAAGTCAATTCGAATTTTCAGGATTTGACCTTTCATGCGTAAAAATTGACGATGCAATCTTTGCCTATCAGAATCTGACAGTTTAGTTTGGGAAATTAATATTTTACTCTTTATTAATTTTTACAATTTAAATAAATAATTTACTTATTATTAGCTTGATAATTAATTTTTAATAATTAAATTGAAAATTAATTAATTAGTAATTTGATGCCTTTTCATGGCAATTTTATCACTCTTGGAACCAGTTACGACTTGGAATCAGTTACCTGGACTCGAGTATGCATCGGATTATTTCCACCGAATGTTTCTCGAATCCCTTGATAATTTCGCTCAAAATACGGATCATTAAAATACAAAGTCAATTCGAAATTTCAGGATTTGACGCGTGAAAATTGACGATGCAATCTTTGCCTATCAGAATCTGACAGTTCAGTTTGGGAAATTAATATTTTATACTTTATTAATTTTTACAATTTAAATAAATAATTAACTTATTATTAGCTTGATAATTAATTTTTGATAATTAAATTGAAAATTAATTAATTAGTAATTTGATGCCTTTTCATGGCAACTTTATCACTCTTGGAACCAATTACACGAACGGATTTGCAGCAAGCGTAGCTTCCGTCGACCGCTCTCTTCTTCTCTTTTCTATTCCAGCTTTATTACACACCTCTCTGTGTAATGTACAAAGAATGGGTAATTAGTTACAGTGAATTAGTCGATGAAAAATGCGACATTATTGGCGCGGCAAACTCCCTCAGGTAAATTCATCAAGTCCGTCGGATCGATGATCGATCAACGGGAGAGCGGTCGATTAGCGTCAGGGATGATGGTACTCGAGAGTTGCCGGCACCCGGAGAAATTCACCCTGTCGGGTAAATATGTACGGAGATCGCGCTCGGGTAGAATAATCAGTCGAATCGCGAGACTGTCGCGCTCTGCGCCAGCTGTTTGCGATGCTGTCCCAACACGGTGGCGTCTAACATCCCGCCTTTATCTCGCGGGACGCGTCTCTCCTCCCATTGTTTGCCGTCGTAAAACAGACAGAATCCTTCTCTCCGCCCGCAGTCGCATCCATAATTACTCCGAATAAATAGTTACGGGGATTGGAGACCGATTTCAACTATGCGAGCGTACATTAACTATTAATTGAGCTCGTGTCTTTTCCCATCAACATCGTAAAGGATTCACGTTTATTATGAAATAACAAGCCGGTTATGTCGAGATCGAGATTTCGCTATGAATGGGAAAGATATTTCTTATACAAGACGGTCTAATAAGAAGGTTGAGTCCTTTTATCGATCATCAATAGCTTTCTCATTAAAATAAGTTTCTTCCTTCTAATTTATGTATAATAATTTGGATCTCCTTTATTTAAAGCACTTTTCTAGGTGCCTTATTTTAGAAACATCTGTTGCATTTGTATTGTTTAAAGCGTAATGAAGTGCATGCGCGTTTTGCGACGACAAAAATCCTTCAGCGGAAAAGGACGGATATTCCGGTAGAAGATAATAGAGAGATTGAATTTACGATGAAAGCGGTGCACGTACGTCGAATATAATAAGGATGTCGTCGGTATCGTGTCGTTTGCAGTCGGCGCACCTCATAACAGCCATTACGATCCCAATCCAATTTCGATCTACGCTAAAATTATTTGAAGAACTAATCGGTCGATTTATCTATCTCCTCTCTCTTCGTATTTTTTACCCTACTTAATCTCGCGAATATAAGGGAGTTCTTTCGATTTCCGATCAACGGCAAATACTAGAGGAGACTTTGAAACTTTCGCGACGTACGTGAATATTAGGATTGGCTCCCGATTTGAGCCAGCAGCTAAATTTTTCATTCCAACGTTTCATTTATATTTCTATTTAAAGGGATACCTGTAGAGGAACAACTCGTTTTTCCCTGATGAAGTGAACTGAAATGTTCACGAAACACTGAACGGAATCAAATAAAAAATTGACGCGGCTCAAAGAACCCAGAACCCAATCCTAATATTAGAAGGGACTATTACAATACATCTTTTAACCCTTCGGCTTTATTTCTGATATAGAATAACAAATCAAATTCTCTCTTCCATCTACCTCTATGAACTGACATTAATGATATTAATTAAAGATTACAATTAGACTTTGAAGCAGCAGAAAGTAAGAGCGGAGTCTTCTGCTAATCGAGTGGTTCGAGTTGTCTTTTTGAGATCGGTTTGCGTTCGTAGCTTTATAATTGTATGGCGGTTGCGTGCGTAAAGGACGAGAGGGTCAAAGGATGGGAGGATCCTGTCGATGAGAGCAGCAGCAAATATTCCAGTCATGTCACGCGCACCATATGCGCAGTCACCGTGTCATCGCGTTTGTTCACAACGTAGTTTTCCTATTTTTTCACGTTCGCAAGCAGTTTCTCGTCTCGCAAATAGACGTCTTTCTGCAATTCGGTTTACATTTACGTAAAATACAGAAAATTATGCTCGTAAATCATCAGTTTTCTAATAATGCTATTGTATCAACACTTCTCTCTGAAAGTGAATCAGCGTGTTATCACTGAAAAATAATAAATAGTCACTGATTACAGCAGTTATAAGTACAGCACTGTAAATCAGCGATATTTTATTGAAAGAATCAGTTAATAATTTTGGCTGTTTCAATCAGTAATATTTCTTTCGTTATTTTCAGTAATATTAAACTACAATTTATCTCTTTATTTATTTTATATAGAATTAAAAATTTTATTTATATTTACTAAATATTTATTATATTAAAAATTTTACTTTATATTAAATGCATAGTGAACTTGTTATTTTAAATGGATAACGAACGAATAATTTTCACTAAGTCGCCAGACATTTATTTGTCCGACTTATAAGATTTAATATCTGAAGCCTCTCTATTGAAATTGTATCAAAAATTAAATCGAAGTAATACTTCTAATTTTAGCTCTTTGCAAACTTTGTATAATTCTTATGACTGAAACTAAATACGAGAGAGATAGCGATCGTAGCAGTAAATGAACGAACTAGCAATTACTGATTTTAAAGTGAAATTTATTTTAACTGATTATAATCAAGAGATATAAGCTAAAATAACAAAGAAATAAGCGTTTCCACTGAAAATCAGTAAAATACTCACTGATTCACTTTTAGAGAGTTGGTGTTCTCTTAAGAAAGGGACAATTCGATTCAAGAAGTAAATAATTATTTAAATTTGATATATTTTTCTTTCCGCACAAAAATCTTCAAATTTAAAAATCTCGCAACTTGAATCGCAAGCTTCAATATTTTCACCCTCTTGATTTAAATAATATTGTTTATTATAAAACTTAACTTAATCTAACCCAACCTGCGTGTGTCCCCGCCAGTAAAATTAGGATTGGATGGTGCATAATTTAAGCGTAGTTGAAATTATTAGAAAGGGTAGCATAACGCAGTATAATATTCCTGCACAACCTGGAGCACTCCTTTCTAAACATAAAGAGACAAAGAGACGGATGGGCAGAAGGGTAGAGAACGAGTTTCTCTGTCAAGTTCGTAAAAGCTCTCCCTCAAGAGATGGCAACTTGTAATCCAGCGGCAAAGTGAAAACGGACATTGCGGGCGCGGGTTGCGCGATCGATCCTGCCGGGACGAGCGGAATTCATCCCGAGGATCGTTGGGAGGGATTTGCAAGGACCCATCGATACGCGGAGGATTTGCGAAGCCGACGTTCAAAATCTATCAGCTCGCGCGCCACCTCGCCCATTCCGAAGGACATTAGGCTCCTCTCGCGGATCCTTTTAAAAGGCTCTCTCTCGTGCTGTAATTTGATCGAGGACGATTTCCTTCGGCAGGATTCGCGCGCTCACCGTCCGAAAGAAAATTCGTAAACCTTCGGTAATCGTTCCCTCGGGTGGCTGCACTGAGGGAAAAATTTTTTTGAATCAAATAAATTTGTTTTCCTGAAAGTTTTGCTCTAAATGGAAGGAATTGTTTATTTCATTTAAGCAAAAGCATTTAATTTTAATTAAATATGCATGTTATATTAAGTACATTATTTTCATATTTATATATTTTTTTATATTTAAATACTATTTTCGTAAAATATATACTATAATTTATTCAATTAAATATATTATTTTTTAAAATTAAAAAATTTTTAATTTTCGGGAATAAAAAGTGCATTTTAATAAATATTTTGTAAAATTA